TACAGAACGGGAATCAACATTTCAGGACTCTTAGTCAGGACTGATTCTGTGAGGATGAAGGAACAAGTCTTGGGAATGTAATGTAGGGGCTCTCATCATTAGAATAGGGTTTGGGGGCCCATTATACTTTAATTTGTAACAGTAGGGCATGCCGGGGCTTTGAAGATATATTCCGGGCCAAGCAACACTCCAGGGTGACATTGTCAAGCGTTGGGCAGCATGCTCCTTCAAAGTGGGGATGCATGATTATGCCTGGCAGCTAGACCTTCGGAGTTGTAGCTTCGCCTTTTTTCAAAAGGCGGCATGTCGGTTGGCCCTGCATGTCTGGTGGTGTTGCGCACATGTACAGACTGAAAAGGATTTCATTGGCCAGTTGCTATCGAGCCTCTTGGAAGGACTCAACAAATTACGCACACTCGATATAGTCACGCCATTACTATCAGCACCTGCGGCTGAAGAAAGCTCACTGTAATAGAAGCGAGAACCACGCTCACTTCCATGACGATCACTATTACGATTCTTATTGTAGCGATATGAATAATAACACAGAAACCCTAAACCCTAAACCCTAAACCCTCCATGACAAGAACGATGGCAACTACGCTCAGAAGTCTGGTCGCCAGCCACCTAAGCTCGAAGACCTTCTAACCTCTCGGCACAGGCCACCCTTTAGGGGTTTAGGGTTTAGGGTAGACCGACCAACTGACATCTCATAGATCCAGGTTCTCTTCTTGACGGAATCCTTCCTGTGCGCCAGCTGGCTTATAGCATCCAAAAGACCTACGGGAAAGTGGTTTGGGGGGCCTTGGGGATGTGGGTTTGATGGTTTAGGGTCCTGGCACCCTAAACCCTAAACCCTACTTCCGCGGGCTCCTGCCGTCAGGTTCAAGTCCACGCACGCTGGAAAAGCTGCACAAGCACTGCCTGGCAACGCGCCGGGATGGTAGGCTTTAGGCTGGACCTTAAGAACCCAAAACCTACTTCTTTGTAGGGTCCCTATAAATCCCATATTAGGGTTCATAATCAGAACCTACAAAAAGTGGGTTTTCGGTTCTTAAGGGTTGAAAGCGTAGGGCTTGAGGTTTAAAGACAGATCGCTGCTGGAGTCTGGAGAGCGAACCTACCTTTCGCGAGATTGGCATGTCTTGAGCTGCGTGGTGATTTGGAGCGGCGATGGTTCCGAAGTCTTTCTGGCAACCACTGCAATTGCACAACTTAACTGCACAACTGCACACAGGAACTGTGCATCTGCAAAAAAATGCGGCTGGCAAGCAGACGCAACAGACACTGCTTCAACTACAGTGTACTGTACGATGTCGCAAGCTGGCTCACTGTGTCTAGCAACAAGTTCTAGGTGGAGACAGTGCATTCAGAAGCACAACTGCACAACAGCAACATATCCCTGCACTGTCCACGTTCGAGATCTTCGTCCAAAACAGTTGTTGGTGTTGCTGTCTGTGCTGGCTTCGTGGGGACTGTTCTTCGGGCTCACCTTCGTGATAGTGGCTGTAGTGATAATGGGATGGTGTGGTCTCACGCGCTGTGGTCTGGCGAATTGCGCCTTCCTTTGATGCTGCCCTTTGTTGGGGGTTACTATTTTGCGTTTGCAGTTGCTGGTGATTTGGTTGTTGCTGCTGCTGATGTTTGAAGCAACCCACTTCGCAGTGCCTTCCGAAACATCTGCAGGCTCGCTGGTGTCCTTGTCCTTATCCCGACAGCAGTCCAGGTAGATGCCCTGCAAGCTTTCAGATGGTGATGGCCAGGATAGTGATGCACAAGATCACGGCTTTCTTTAGGAGGCGGCGGCGGAACAGGGCGATGATAATGATACAAGTCGTTATGCTGATGGCATGATGATGCGGCAATGGTGCTTGTGGTCCTGGTAATATTAACACAGGATGAGAACAGTTATAATGAACAAGATGGCGTAGATGCGAAAGATGCCGTTGCTGATGCTGGTAACAAGTGATCGCGGCTGCAGTGGCACTGGCCGCGGTGGAGTGTGGGTTACTGCCATGAGAATGAAGGGTACGATATGAGCATGATGATGATGAGCATGACGAAAACTGATGACGATGATGGTGGGGGCGGTGGTGGTGTGATGATGATGATGATGATGATGGTGACGACGACGGTGATGACGATGATGCCGGCTTGGAAAGGAATCATGACCACTGTATCACTATGCCACTATGCTTGCTGATGAAGTGGCTCGTGACCATGATCATGAACCATCGTGGTGAAAGTCAGAACCATCATCCTGCTACCCCAGAGACTCCAATATCCCTTAATTAAGGAATGTACCTTAAATCTTATTAGGGATCCTACTATAATTTAAGGTATATTCCTTAATTACAAGCTGTTGACTCTCTCGTTCCTTGAAGAACCCTTTGGCGCACCTCTGAGGGGCAGCAGGCGCCCTCCGTGAGGCCCGCAGCGACGCAGCGGGGGTAAGCGGAGCAGGCCGTGGGCTTCTCCTGCGTAGGATTTAAGGTTTGGGCGGGTTTCTTCTCGTGCAGCTTTAATTCGGCTTAACCATGTGAGTGTGCGTGTGTGTGTGTGTGTCTGTGAAAAAGTATGTATGCATGCATCTATGTTTGCGCGCATGCATGTTTGTATGTGTATATATATATATATATGAGATGTATAATATGTGCTTGTGTTGGTTTTACAACGTTGATTATAGTACCAGAAGATAAAAGAAGGATTTTGTCGTAAGGGTGTTCTTCAGATTCGCTCGGCTTTTAAAATGAGTGTTTCCAGAACTTCTTGAAGCATTCAGCCATACTTCCGTGATTCTGTTTTTACAGCTGAGGGCTGTAGGATACAAAGTTAAGATTAACCGACACTGTGTAGGCTTCGGGTTGAGGGTTTCGGGAACTAAACCCTAAACCCTAAACCCTAAACCCTAAACCCCTAAACCCTAAACCCTAAACCCTAAAGTTGTTGGGTTTTGGGTTCGGTCTTCGGGTTTCAGGTTTGGGTTTACTGTCAGGTTTCACAAGAGAGCATGGTTCCACCGAGGCCCGTAAGATGGTGTAGAACCGTCGAACTCTAAACTTGCCCCAGACTGCGAAGCACTGCGATGTCCCAAACCTTTTGAAGCGGCTCAACATGGCTCAACCGAGAGTTGCAGCATGAAAGCAGCAAGCTTCTTGCAGGATGGATTTCGATTGATTCTGTGGTTTTCGAAAGTGGCCCTAAACCCTAAACCGACCTAAACCCTAAACCCTAAACCCTAAACCCTCAACCCTAAACCCTAAACCCTCAACCCTAAACCCTAAACCCTAAACACTAAACCCTAAACCCTAAACCTTAAGCCCCGTGTGATCGGACATGAGCCTGACAGCAGTCCAACTCTTCACCCGCTGCACAGCAGGTGCCCGAGCTGTGGCCCTGTTTAGGGTTTAGGGTTTAGGGTTTAGGGTTTAGGGTTTTAGGGCTGAAGGAGGTGGCGGGAAAGAACACTTTCATAAGTACTATAGGGGCCTATATAATTACCGGCGTTCTTCGTCGTACTGTCTTCGGTCTCAGTCCTGTCTTGTTGACCAGTCGTCTGACTACTCCTGATGATGGAAACTTCTCGAGTTTGGCATCCGTACTGTTGATGGACAAAATCCTGCATGACCCAAATATAGTCTAGTACCATAAATCCCATAGTTTAGGTATATAGGGTCATGCAGGAGTTTGTCCATCAACCGTATCAATGGACAAGGACTGCCAGTCGCATCACCCTACAAAGCCTCGAACCTCCGCCCGACTTCTCCTGAAATGGGTCAGATCCTCCGAGGCCGATGTTTTGAGAGGTAGGTAGTATTATTGGGGGTACCCTTTAAAGGGTACCCCTTCTGAACCCTACTTTTGGCTCTCTTAAAAGGGACCTTATTGAGAGGGTCTATATCCCCAAGGGTCCCCCTAATCCTAGCTCCCAAGATGTTCTAAATCATTGAAGAAGCAATCCAAGGACACCGCCACTTACAGGGATGGCTTGCGAATGATACTGCCAGTAGTTGCCAGCAAGACTCGCCTCAAACCCACGAACATGAAGGAACTGCCGGTGGATATGGGGGTTTCCGAAAATAGGGTACCCTAATCTAGTACCCTAAATAGTAGGATCCCGTTATCAGGACCCCAAATAAGGTACCCCTTGTTTTCGCAAACTCCCATATACCCCATGTCGAAAACATCCCGAAGCCAGACGCAACCGCTCCCAGCCTCGGAAACGCAGGCAGCGAACGCAGAACAAGCTGATGGCCCGCCCTCGCAGCAGTCCAGCTGCTGACCCTCCGGTCCTCACACAAAGGCTCCCAGGTCCCCCCATTCCGCTACCTTCGCATCTTTAAGGCATACTTGGAGGATAATGGGACTTAGTAACTAGGGTTATAAATATTGTAACTATAATTATAACCCCAATTAGGGTACTTATAACCTTACTTACTAAGTCCCATGATCCTCCAAGTAAAGTCATCATCAAATGGGTCGTGAATCAGATATTCTCGCCTTGACGCGACAGGTGATCCTTCCGCTGGGGGGCATCATCTATCTGGGTGATCTAGGTGGTCTCACACGGTTGGTCTCGCTTGCTGGCAAACAAAACTCCCAAGGCTTCAGCGGCAGCCTTGCAAACACTACGAGCACGCTTGGGAACCGAATTAAGCATCATGGCAGGTGATTGAGACGACTCCAGGTATGGGAAGGATTGGGAAAAGCTCATGACCCCGCAACCTCTTCCGACAGTCGGCAACGACAAAGCTAAGTGGCTGCCTCCTCCTCCTCCTCCGTGTGCCTCTTCCTCGTGCTCCTTTGCCTGAAACTAAACCTGCCTGATCCTGCAACGATCAGCACTGCAAATGTTAACACTTTTGCAACGTGACATGTTCTACCCGCAGAACGAGGCATGCCTTCGTCCGTATGTAGGACTGAGAGTTGTACATGGTATGGCCTGACACGAGCCGCAGGAACAAGCCTCTGTCCTTCACTGGGGCAACATGCGCCCTCTGTCAGACCGCGCTCCACGCACTTCGGATATGCGGAGCAGGCTGAGGCGGTTGAAAGATCGCTGGGCGCCACAGGAAGAAAGCTCTTCGCAGGCTCCTCATCATGTGAGGTCGGCAGCCATGCACAAGCTGTAGATATGAGAGACATACGTCTATTCCGACAGGGATAAGAAACTTGTACAGTACATTACATGACGGTGCAGGCGCCCAGCAAGGAAAGTGACAGGCGCTTCAAAACCGAAGAACCTGAGCTCCTCGACCTGGGCTGCCGCCTGTAGAAAGCGATCGCCGGCCGATGCAATCCGTGCAGCCAAGGCCGCCACTGCTACCACGCGCATGGTACAACGAGGGCCTGGGACAAGAGTGGGCGTAGGGGTCTGGTGTCTAGGGCGCAAGGACGAGGCCTGGGGCATCAAGTAGTTATTCAAACAATGCATTGATGAAAACTCTTACGGAAAAACTCTTGCTGTTCCAGCTTCCTTGTACTCCTGCTTTGGGTGTTGTCAGCAATGCTCCCAATCCTACTGCCACTCTGCTTTGCCTCCCCCTCCTCCTGCTGCTACTGCTCCTGCTACACCACCTGCTGCTGCAACAGCACTATACCTGATCGTAGATGGGCACCGGTCTGTTCCACAGACTACTTGGAGGATCATGGGACTTAGTAACTAGGGATATAAATATTGTAACTATAACTATATAACCCCAATTAGGGCACTTATAACCTTACTTACTAAGTCCCATGATCCCCCTAAACCTAAACCCTAAACCCCTAAACCCTAAACCCTAAACAGGGTGTGACAAACTGGGGCAGTGACACGAAGTGCAGGGAGCGCTAAGTCGACTCTACCGGGCACGGCGCAAGGCTAAGCAGCTGCGGCAAGAAGTGGGGTTTAGGTTTAGGGTTTAGGGTTTTGGGTTTAGGGGTTTAGGGGTTTAGTATTCAGGGTTTAGGGTTTTGAAATTTTGGGCCTAGTGTTCAAGATATCTAGGGGGCTCACTACCCAGGTATTACCAGGGCCAGGAACCACGGGGAGATGCATACAATAATCTACTTGTAGATCGATCAAATGCTTCGTACGAGAAGTTGCTGGTGGAATGCTCTGCCTCGTACATCGCTCCATGCGGTCGCATAACGTGGGCAAGGACTCTCACCCAGCAGCTAATTTTCGCTGGACAAGAACGACCCACAGCCCAGACCCTCCCCCGGAAAAAGGCGGTGCAGAACCCATGCAACACCGTTGCAAAGCTCATAGAAGCCATCCCTGAAACTCACTGCAGCACTTGCAAAGAACCCGAGGTCCGGCTCCCTCAGTGCAGCCCCTTTAGACTGAGAGCCTGGCCTTTAAATCCAAGAACCATGAAACCGAAACCCCAAATGGTTTTTTCTTTTAATTAGGCTGATTTAGGATTTTACTTGGGCTTTAGGGTTTGGGGTTGAGGGTTGGCCCAAAAGCCCTTAAGCCCCCAAACACTTCTGAAGCAAGCGAGACCGGGCCAACCGGATCGTACTCCGGGGGCTTCTGGCTTTGCAACGAAGCGATGTAGAGAACGATGATGGACAGGATGCCCCACACTGCAAAAGCTTGGGGGGGGGTTCAGGTTTGGAGCTTCTGGCTTTGATTTTTTGCTTTAGGGTTTAGGGTTGAGGGTTTAGGGTTTAGGGTTTAGGGTCTGGGGCTTCGGGTTTTTGCTATCCGTCTTCTGTCGCGATCACCACTTCCGGATAATCGGATATGTCCGGGCAACATCTACTACTGCGCTTGCCGCAACTACTACTCTCACTTCCTACCACTACGAAGGCGACGATCGTGAAACGACCGCCACGACGGCATGAAACAGGAGTCCCTCAAAGTACTGTCGAGCGTTTTGTACTCTGAGCCGTTTTCAGATGCTGCAGGCTGTAGGCATGGCCGTGAGCGGGAGTAGCCTGGATACAAATTGACTCTCGTGTTGCGATGACGAACATGATGATGGCGACGTCATGATGATGACGACAACGGCAGGCGTTCGATGCCGGCATTGCTTCTGGTTGCATCTATAGCTATAGCGGTTCATTGGCACTCTCTTGGTGTTTCTGATCATGGTTGCGGTTCTGTGGTTCTGTGATAGGTTGTAGACATTGTACATGGTGGGGCTGGCGTCCGTCACTGCTTTCGTCCGCGTTCCGTCTGCAATCTACTGCTCCTGCGACAGGCTGGATGATCGCGGCTGAGAGGCTGAGCCCCACGATGACACCAGCGTCGATAATGGCTCTGTAGGGGTTGTCCAGCTGCTTGACGCCTGTGAATCTGCATGGTTCGGAGCTGGACCAGAAGTGGAGACTTGAGCTTCTGAGGGCACTTCGGGGCAGGCCTATAACGACGGCGAAGATAACTGTAGTGACCTGAGCTGTCATTGCCAAGTTGCATATGGTTGCACCAATGGCTGCTCCAGACCCCTCTACAGCTCCCAACTAATCCCTCTTCTGAGGCACGAACAGAGCCCTCATTTATGTCCAACGGCTTCTGTGAAGTTGAACAATGTCACCAGGCTTCCGTTTAGTCGGAAACTTGCAGTGCTACAACACCATAAACCCCATGCCTATGCCTATACCTCGGCAACCAGAGAAGCTGAAAACCCCAAATCGAGAGCCCTAAACAACCATGAACCGAAAGCCACAAAAACCCTGAGCCTAAATCCTCAAGCTAACCCCGAAATCCAAACTTTGCGGCTGAGCAGCAGCCCAGCTGGTGATCACACGCCGCTTAGTGCCGTGGAAGTACCCGATGCAGAATGCGGGCTGGCCAAGAGGTATGACGCTTACCGGCATTTAAACTTGCGGTTCAGGATTTAGCCGTGAATGCCTGAGCCGATATGCGATCCGCACAAACCCCAAACCGTAACCCAGAATCATCTGGAACATGGCCTTGCGCTGCGTAGCGTTGCAAAATAGCGTTGCGTAGTTACTGAGCACTGCCAGTGTTCTTGTTTGTACCGCAAGGCCCTACCTAGCGACACAAACCATCAGGGCCCTTGGGCAGCCCGGCAACAGTCCCGACAAAAGCTTAAATCAAACCGGCTGAGAAAGCATGGCGGATCCACCGCTAGCACTTTGTGCCACACCGGAGCTTCGGACGTCTCCTGTAGGCAAGAGTGACGTGGATTCCTTCGAGTTACCAGTACCAACTATGGTCGGCGCCAGAGTTCGAACCGCGAAGCAAGTTGCCCTTGTACAACGAAGACATCCCCTCACTGAGGACCAGGATGCTGTCACAGTGGTGATGACCCCGAAGTGATGATGGCTGCTGATGCTGCTGATGCTGCTGCATGCTGCTGCTGCCGCTGCGGATGCCTCGGCCGCTGATGTTGCTGACGGCGCTCACGTGACTGATGCTGCTTTGCCGTAGAAGATCGGTACTTGCGGTGTTTCTGCTTCTGGTGGTGATGGCGTGGTTTGCAGGCAATGCTGATTAAGATCGCGACTGGACATTGGTACATAAATTATACCAGCCAGAACATGCACCGTTGCTAGATTTATCTGAAGTTTGCAGAGCCTGCTGACTGCAACGTTAGGAGCCAACAGCCGCGCTCAAAGATCTGCAACCCTAAAGCTTTAAATCTTTGCAAGTAACCCCGAAACTTAAACCTAAAACGTCCATGATCTCCTGCCACACTCCACACCTGAAACCTCCTAAACCCTAAACCCTAATCCTTAAACCCTAAACCCTAAACCCTAAACCCTAATCCTTAAACCCTAAACCCTAAACCCTAAAGCCATCGCCCGGCAGACCTCCGAGACGACCCAGGCGCGGCTCACGACGCGTGGGGAGAAGCCGAGCTGGAAGCCCCGATAGCCCTGGACTGACTTTTGAGGTTCAGGGGTACGGTTTAGGGTTTAGGGTTTAGGGTTTAGGGTTTAGGGTTTAGGGTTTAGGGTTTAGGGTGCAGGTTCTAAACCTTAAAACCCGATTTCTGGCTGAGGACGGCATTTGTAAGTCGGCATGTGGGAGTCCAAGTTGGTTTCGCTCAGCAGACTTGCGGAGATTCCACTTTTGGGATATTGGGTCGTTGGTTCTCTTTTATTTTGTTGTCAATACCATTATTATCACTGCCGCTTTGTGTGATTAATCCGTGATCGCGTTATTCCATCTATGATACTGATTGGTGTTGGATGGTGCTTTGGGTCCAACAAAGCTGGATGCACGCAGAAAGTTGGTGTGCCGAGCCTCCACATATGCGAAGAAGAGCAGCGTCACTGCCAACAGAGCCCATTGCCAGACTTCCTGGCAAGCACCGGCTTCCCACCGTCACATGTTCAGTAGCTGCATGCCTCGATGGCACCCAATCCATCCAGCACGATAGGCACCTTGCGGAATGCATCAAGCACAATCAAGCAGGACATGTGCCCGCGACAACTCGCAAGCATACTTCCGGGCTCCTAGCGACTTTGGCCACACCGTAGGAAAGGTAAGCCACTACACCAAATACGCCCCACGCCTGGTACGTCAGCAACTCAACCAACCAACACGAGCAACATTGCCAGAACTCGTGAATGTTCGGGATGTTTGGTCCTTGGTACGACAACGGCTAGTGAGTTGCAGAAATGACCCCAGTCCTGGACCAGCTGGGAGCGGTCCTCACCGACCTGGGCTCGACCACAGTCTGTCTCGTGTATCGTTGTCATGTCTGCATGGATGAGAGCCCCAGAGCTGTGTCCTGAAATTGCATGGCACCAAAAGCTCCAGACTTCGCTTTGGGTGCCTTCAGCACCAGCTCTTCCTGAGAACGGGTTGTCACAAGGAACCAGCAGCACAATCACCTTTCAGGCCATATCACAGGTCAGGCAGACCGGTGCGACGTCAACCCAACATGATACTTTACAAGTAGACGGAAGTGCCAACTTGCCACGCGACTTGCAGAACTCAGGCGATGGCTGAGCAATGGCGAGAACGAACCTGTCACCACAACCCTGGACACTGCATCGTGGGATTCCGACTGTGCTGGCGGCACATGGAAAACACACGCATCCCGTGTGTCACGCGAGGGTGGCCTGTCACATCTCGTGGCGGCCTGAACAGCATGAAACTGAGTCGCCACATTCATCGCCACAACGCACACACAAACACGAACATGCCACATCATGCCACGGCAGTGCAAGCATGATGTTGTGATTGCTACGACGCTTTGATCTGTAAGGCGGCGTCTGGCTCGCCGAAAGTGTTTGCGCGTGCTGCTCGCGGTCCTCATGACGGGGAAACGTTCAGCAAATCCCTGCCACATGATCCGACCGGCCCTGCGAGATCTTGTGGCAAGTACCACCGCTCCTTCGTTGCATGCCAAGGTGAAACATGATGATTCTCAGCTGCAGGCAGC